CGAATTCGGGTGAGTGGTGGAAAGGCGCGACGCCGGGCGCTTGTTGAAACCTGGCGCCAGCTTTACCGTAGCCAGAATCCGCCGAGTCAAAGTGCGGCCCTCAGGCAAAGCCCTCCTTGACACCGTACGACCACCATGACTGTCTTATCACTCAAGTGAATGAAATTCCTTGCGTCAAGTGCACTGGTACGCCTAGCTCGTGCTTTTTTAATACGGTGAGTGATTGGATAAAAGCTCCCCGGTCCGACCGTTGATATCGATAAAGCACTTTCCGAATCCCAGAGCACTTTCTCACTGTCACCCTCCAACCCTTTCCAGCCTTTCGAAAATACGTGCATACAGACTCAGTTCCGAAGCACCAACTCTCAAATACCCAATTGTTCATTTTCACCCACGAAGGCCGGTCTTGACGCCGCCAGCAGCGGCCGGGAGGACTGTCTGACAGTGAACAAGATTGCAACTTCTTCGGTAGACGAATTTCGCAAGGTATGTTCCATGAGACTTATTTCGTGAACTTGTTCTCCAAAGGTAGTAACGACTAATAGCTACGGCTACTACTGGAAACAGCATCCCAACGATCTTAAGTCGATTCGGTATAAGCCAACTCGACAATCACCCAAATCGTGTTTGGATATCCAAAGCCCTATATAGTGCGCATCCTGTCTGCTTCCCTTTGTACAACTGCTTACACTAATACTTCTCCCCCAGGTACACGACGCCCCAGCGGTGTTGGTGAAAGATTGTCCGGCATTGCCGTACACACGGTTTCGTCTCATACTTCCCAGAAAAATACACCAAGACCGACGATCGCTCACCCCGTGTATCTAAATTTTCAGATTCACGTCGCGCTTCGTCTGGCTTGTGCACGAACGTCCGACGCTGGCTTGAATCGTTCGAGGGCTACAGCAGGAGAAGGGGGAGTAGCGGCCTCAGTGACCACTTTACCTCTACCACGACAGGAATTTCTCTCATCAATCGCCACCAGTGCCGACGTTGACAGGAAGTCTGATACCGTTTGTATCATTGGAGACGGTCAGATTGCCTGAAACGGCGCGTGATAGCTCATGATTTCTGAACATTTTGAATACTACACTAGTAGATACCAGATTGAAGAGCCCTGAAAGTAATTTGAACGTCCGAATGGGCAGACTTCCCGATATTTCTCATATACTCCGCTACAGCCCGTCCGGCCATGGCCAAAAGCCATCAAGCTTCCATCCTACAATGTCACGGCGTGAGGCTCAATCGGAACGAGACTTCCTTTCCCCCTAAATTTCTCCACAATTTTTGCTTGTTCGCTTAACATGAACCTATCCGTCTGCTTCCCAATCTCCGCAAGCTGCCTCCACCTCTGAAAAGCCTCCGGGTCTCTCTTATCCCCATGTGCCAGGGTGGGGTTCTCCCAATGTCCTTTTGAGAACCCGATCAGTGTCGTAAGGGTATCGTTCTTCATGTCGTAAACAAGCGAGACGATGGTCCCCGTTTCCTCGAGCCAGTTGACTTGCCAGAGTTCTCCGGGGCGGATGCATTGGTATGTGGCGGTTTGGTAGTTGTACCGACCGGCCATGGGTCCGCCATGAATGGCGTAGACGATACGGTTGTGGCTGAAAAACCACATTTCGTAGCGCCAGGTTTCGGGATTACCGTCGGCGTCTTGGGCGGCGTAGTCGTAGACGAGGTGGAGGTCTTTGATATCGCGATCGAAGGTTGGATCGAGAGGGGTGTCAGTGTGGTAAGACATGTTGTGTGGGGGTGTTGTTGCAGGCGATGAGCTTGGTCTGAGCTGAGGTAGTACAACGAGGTTTGAGCCTGATAACCTCGTAGAAGACTGACCTGGTTTTTATAGGGTTCGCAGCTCGCGGCGAGGCTGTATGACCGTATTCTTCCTGTCACAGAGGGTTTTACGTCCTGGCTCCGAAACCAAGCAGCTGCAGGTCGCTATTTCCGTCTACAATGATGTGGCGCCTATAGTTGTATCTCCGGAGACGAAGAACAATAGTTCGTACCTTGTTTAATTTACTCTTGAGCAAGCCATACACACGCAGCCCACAGATGAGCCGGTTTTCTGTTGTGGCGGAAGGCGATCTTCCAACGATAGAGCTTCCAATGTTGTTCAAATAGCAATGAGCCTCCTGCATATCCCATCGGCCTCCGAGTCAAGCACGGAAATCGAGACGTATGTTTCTGAGGGCTGTCTCCTAGATCCGCGTACGACGGAGTGCTGCTGGATCATGGGTTCCGCGAAATGGAGTTGCAGGTGAGTCTGCAGGTTCCGGGGATGTGAACTCAAGCGCTTATCCTGTCTCCTACTTCAGTCTTCATGACGCCCACCGGAGATCACAAGCCATATTGAGGGATTCAATCGGAAGCAACCAAACCTTGAACTCGGAGTAGTATAAGCAGCAGACCAGTATTCTAAAGCCCTAATTGTTCAACCTGAACCCGATCATCTTGATCATTGCCGACTGGTGTACTTACTTGGTACTCACAGTGCGTTCATTTAATTAAAGCGGTAAGCTAATGAGCACCACCATCTGCCATCCATTCTCCTGTCTGCCTGATGTCTTGGCAAAGTCTTGTGGACCACATGGACCACATGTGCATTGTGCAATACTTGTGAGAGGCACTTGCCGCCCAACGTTTGAAGAAAGGTGGCAATTGGCGCCAGCAAATTCGGATGAGTGGACATGTCGGAGGTTTTGAATAGCTCATGCAGGGCCATATAACGCCCGTAAGTGAATATTAATTCAGCGTACATAAATCTAGATTCTGGTCCCGTCTGACCACCCCACGGTGACACCTACTGAGAAGTACACCATGAATGCGCTCGACGCGTCGTCATGAACTCCATTCTGCCTGTAACTCGTCCGGTAGAGAGGAAAGCATCGAGAAAGTTGTGGAGTAGGGACCGATCGATCGGTCAGCAGCAGAAGTTCCAGAGCGGCCTACGATTGTGGAAACAAAAGAAAATACAACTTGCCGGGCCGCACTAAGTAACGGAACTGAGGTCAATCTGCTTATTAAGCCTCAAGGCCTCAGGAGCCGTTTTCCTTTGACCACCACCATCGCTCACACGACGGCACATTCGTTCGCTGGGATCCCTCGTCTTCAGCGTCGATGCGGCTGGGGAATTTACTCAGAGGTCCGATTCCTCAGAATACTCTCTCTGGCAGTGGTTTTCTGGAAGATGAACGGAGTTCATCTGGCATCCCACCTATCCTTGAAGCTCTAGTTTGGAGTTGGATGAGGTTATATGTACCCCGTTATTCAGGAGAGTAGCGAGTTGGTATACTTCTCTTGTGGAAGGCCGACTTTGGTGATTGCACTTGATACCTTCGTGGAGGTTCGGAGACCCCATGAGGATGACTGGGACCATCGTACGTGGAGTGCGTGGTTTGACAGACCCCGTCTATTCGCAGGAGAGACGGCCAGCTACTCTGAAGGGGGGTTGGTTAGGTCTTGGTACCCGTTAATGTACGGGTTTACCATGGGCAGAAAAGGCCCTATTACTTCTGAAAGAGGACGTGGCGGCGCTGTGCGAGAAGTGCAGTGTAGATGAAACGCCACTCGGGCAGAAAGCCCTCTCGTCTCAGAAAGAGGCATCTTATACAGGTTCTACTTTTCCCCAGGAGGAGTGGCCCGGTTCTCTCGAGAGCAGAGCTGGGATAGCCTTTGTATCGTCGTTGTGGATGGCATCGGAAGGGCGAAGCAGGTCGAGGTTCAAAATAGAGTTCGTGTACAGCAGTTTTGGAGGATCACATCTAGTCGTCAACAAACGCATCTCATGGACACCCACCTGCACCCTCGCTATATGGTCTGCACGAATCGCAGTCACCACGTACATACGACGTCTAGTCGACCCAGAGAATCCTTCGTTACCACCAATCGGTCGTTGGTTGTCGACAACCCCGGCAGCGCAATCTCAAGGTTCAATTTCGGGCACAAATCGACCTTTTTGGGAGAAATAAGCGTTTTTGCCGCGAGGATCACTCAAGTCGGTCATCGAAAATTGTCTCACTCGCAATGTTAGTAGACGTGGATGGACCGCCGCTTGTGGCACCTTGGGCGTGCACAGCGTACTCTTATGATGGGTCAGACGTAGTCGGCCCTCATGGACGAGACTCATGGATTTGCCGCGTAGCCCGACGGCTGGAGTCTATGCTTGCAAGTTGAGTTGTCGCTTGTATTGCGAAAGAGGTCGTCGCACCTGTATCACTCTGCTCGGAGTCTGCCTTCCCCTCCTTCTCCGCCGCTACGAAACCTCCCCCTGCCATGCATCGTCATCGTCATCGCCAGCTCAGTTTCCTCGCATTCATGGACTATTCGCAACATCGTAGCACGGTCGGCTCTTTGTGTGAAGATTGCAGGAACGGCGCGCACGTTACACGGGACACGGGGAGAGCGCTCAACGTGGTTCGGTCGGATGACGTTACGGAGGGGGCGCACTAGGCGAGAAGTCGAAGAGCATGTAGAAAAAAAAGTGGAGCGTGAAGCTTTCTTGTATGATTCGACACAAGCAGCGACGGTCGCCTCGAGTCGTGATTACCGGGCAGCCCAGCCTCCCGGGTTCCTCTTTGGTTGAGGGATGTGAGGCTTGAAAAGTCGCGCGCGATGCTGTGTGCGTGTATATATGAAAATCCCGAACGAGCTAACAGAGCTGAGAAGCTGCTGAGCTGTCGAGGTCGCTGCCATTTCTTCTTTTTCCCTTTTTGGGTGTTCTCCCTGCCGGATGGGGCTCGTTGACGGTCGAGAGTGGGGGTGGTCTTCGAACTTCATATATCGGTGGGGAGGACAAGCTGAAACCCCTTTTGTGGGGTTGGCATTGGATAGAGGTGGTGGTGTAGTCCATGATCATGATGTTGCGCTGTAACCCAAACATCTGGGGTGCAATGGATCTAGTGGGCCGGGTGAAGGTTTTCTCTTGAGGAGAATCCCGACATCTGTTTATTGTGCGCTTTTGTGTGGTATACATCTCTGTAAAATCTGTGAGATTAGTATTGTCCCTCTTAGCTCAGCTGGTAGAGCGCGTCACTAGTATAATGAGACGATAAAGTGTTCACTAATGACGAGGTCAGTCGTTCAAGTCGGCTAGAGGGAAATGATTTTTTGTGACATTTTTTCTGAAAATTCTTGCTTCGTTCGCTGCAGCTACTAGCTAGCTCATGTATACATACATATAAGTAGGCATCATATAGCAAGATGATTTCTTTCCCAGCCAGACAGCGAGTACGAGTAAATGTAATCTCTACAAAGCCAAAGAAGCACTAAAATCAAAAGGCGCCCCCGTAAGACCAGCCGTACTCTTCGACCCCGCAGCCAACGTATTCCAATCCGCACCGTTTACCTGGATCTAAGGGCACAGGTGGCAAAACATAAGCCTTCTCGACCTCCCCACCTCAAAAACGACAAGAAAACGCACCTCATAATCCTCCCCTTCATGAGGATCCGGATTCGAGATCAACTCCCAATACAACCAAGGGACCTTGTACTTGTTGATCTTTTGGATGTTGGAGTTTAGGTTTGCTGTTCGACCTGAACCGACGAGGGAGCCCCATTCTTCGATGATGAGTTTTTTACCGGCGGACTGGGCTTGGGAGATTGCGTTGGTCATGAAGGTGTCATAGTCGCTTTAGAGAGGGGTGTTAGTGTGGTATGGGGAGAGAAGGGGAGGGAGAGTGGAGTGGGGAAGGGGGGAAGGGGGGAAGGGGGCCATGGGGACGTACTCGTTGTAATCGTGAATAGCGACGACGTCGATTGCTGGGCATGAACTGCTGAAGAAGAAAGATTGGACGCTCGATGCTGCTGAGCCTCCCCCGGTGAAGATGAGTTGGTTTCGGTCTCCGACGTTGTTGCGGATCTGATGAGGTGGGGGAAGGGAGGGGGTGAGGATCCTGAAAGTGAGGTTGGGAGATGTGGCTGTATGGACTTACCTGTTGTGCGGTGCTGCAGATCCAGGAGAGGTGGGCCTAGGTGGGCGTTCGGGAGTGAGCGAAGGGGATTTGGGATTGTTCGTTCGTTCGTACCTTGTAAAAACCTTGATCGAAGATCATAGGTCTGGCAAAAGTGGGATGAGAACTTCCTCCCCCCAGAGACAAGAGACACCGGCAACGTACTCGTTCTGAGCCTCATACCCAAAGATATAACCCCCGAGTTCACTCCAAGGTTTGTTACCGAGGAGTTTGTTCTTGTGAATGTTCATGATGTGGGTTATGCGTTGGTTAAAGTGGTTGATGGCGTCTGGTCCAGTAAGCTTCCATGAGAGAGAGAGAGAGGAAAGACAGAGTGGGTTTACATACCTGGGTCGGTGTAAAAGTTTCTCTCGCCGTATTGTTTACGGTAGACGTCGTTGTCGTCGAATTGGAGCGAGTTTTCTGTACGCGCATGTCCATGTTAGAGCCCGCAGGTGTTGGGAAGGAAGCGTCCGAGGTTAGCTTACTATCATGCATTCCTGTTTTTTGTTTGGCAGGTAAGTATGCGCCCTTGAGTGATAACCACGAGGAGACTCCAAATCCGTACCAATGAGAAGTTTGATTCCTGTTGGAAAAACGCTGGTCAGCACACAGCACGCGACGTATGAGAGAAAGCAACATGAGAACGTACCGCGAGCATGTGCATCGACCTACCGACACCGCCAATACGTATTAGCCTAAATTCCAAAGCACGAGACCCCACCCCCACACACACTTACCATCAACTGATCAATTTGATCGAGAATCTTGTCGTCGTAGGTACCGAGACCGTTATGTTCGAGGTCTGGGATGTTGCTACTGCTGCTGCCTTTTTGGCCGGCTGCGTGGCCTGTTACCCAGGTACGGAGGACCTTGGATCGGCGAGGTTGAGTGTAAGAAAGCCTGGGGGAGGGGAGGGGGAGACGTTACCTTCATACCAGCGGCCTTCATACCGTCCAAGATGGCATGTCGGTCGGCGTCTGGGAGGCTGTAGATGTAATAGTTCTGTGTGCCGGTAAGGATCCAACGTTTCAACACCGAAGAAGTGCGCACGTACGTTTGCACCGGCGAAACTGTTGGCTGCGAGAGCGAGTTGGGTAGAGTAGAGGAGGGCGATGCCTAGAGCCTTGAAGTGAGAGGTTAACTTCATGACGGCTTGAAGACAGCTGTGAGAAGGACTAGGGGCTTTTATAGCTGAGTGACGGTGTCTTGTTGTTGAATGTTCGGATGTGTGATTACTAGAAATAAGCTATGGAGAAAGTGTCAAGGGTCGAATGGAGGTTGGAAATGTTGGATGGCGGCGCGCTGATTCGGTCGAGACTCAATGTGGGGGAGGGAGGACTGAATCGGAATACATACATTGAAGCCTATTTCAGACAAGGAGGCTTTTCTGTTTTGTGTTTCGAATGTATGGCTGTCATTCGATTTGATTTGATTCGATGTCTGCCAGTGGATTTTGACAGCAGCTTTGCCAGCAAATTTAGACGTTTCTGTACAAAGGCAGTAGTTGGTGACACGTTCGATCGCGACTCGCAGCCTTCGAGGCTTACCTACGCGTACGCGTCGTGCCAAGAGAGCTCGAAGTTGAAGGAAATTCGTTCAACCAGTGCGCGAGTTTTGAGACTATTTTGAGAAGATGGATGAATAGGTAGACCGGCTTTGAGAAAAGAGCGTTTGTACTCAGTGAGAAAGAGCAATTGAAGAAGAAGAATGGTGTGGGGTAGACCGTAGAGACGGTCGCGGAAGAAGCTGGGCAAAGCGGAACTGGTGAAGCACATGGACTGGGCGGGACGGAATTGGGTTGCGCCCAAATAAGCGCCCAAGAGCTTTACGGCCTATCTCGCGTTCTAACTTCTCAGGCATTCTCGTTCCACCGCCCATGCTCAATTGCTTCAACTCGCTCTCTACTCTGAAACGAGCTAGTGAAACGAGGGGCAAAAGGCTATGGGTATTACTATGAAGATGGGTGTTGTGTTCAGGATAATTAGCGCTGTTCACCTGAACCACATGATTTGGCAGGGAGGCTTCAGAATTAAACAAGAACAAATAGGACGTTGGACTCAGTGTCGCTGCACACCCCTATATTTTCTGCCACACCTCTAATGTAGTCCTACCTACACGTCCCGTACTCGCGACTACCGTTCATGTCTGGAGAGCGAGAAACTAAACGGCGCCGCACCAATGGTGTTGCGAATCTGGAGTTCAGCAGTAAGCGCGGAGAACCCACCGATGACTCTTCAAGATCGAATCATCCTCCCATCTCTGATCCAGCAGAAGAGATGACGAAGAACTTTGCCTCCCTTAGCCAATTCGTGCCGCAGACTTCCCGAGGAAAGAGCTCAGAGACACCTTCTGGAACGCATTCGTCGTTCACATTCGCACACAAGTCGCCTCAAGATGTTGACGAGGAGCATGCAGATCTGATGAAGATGCTCGTCGGGCGGCAGATGGTAGAAGAAAAGACTAATGTTTCTGTGATGACACGAATATGTCCTGATACACGCGATTCTCAATGTTTTCTCGACGAACACCCGGGACTTTTCGACCAGGGAAAATCGCGCTGGGTTGGCATAGACAAGGCTGCGAAGACCAAGAGGTTTTCAGAGGAAGACCTCTATCCCCCTCTCATCGAGATTATCAAAGCCATTCAGGAACACTTCGGACTCTACGACCACTTCACTTCCCTAACAGCCCGCACCGAGCAGTCTATAAAGGATACCCCGGACATACTCTTGTGCTACGGCCCGCGGACAGTCGAGAGCGCGACGCTCCCCTTCGAACCGTTCAACCACGATCGTATTGATTGCAAAGGAGACGATCAACTGAAGTGGGCCGTATCCTGCATCGATGTCAAGACGGGCGCCTTTCAAAAGAAGGATATTATCCAAGTGATAAGCTATATGAAGTACGTGAACTGTGGTGACCGAATATCTCTTTTTTCTAACGTTCGCCACCGTTCCACCAGACGAATTCTGCTCTCGCAACCTGGTCGTCGTTTTGTCTATAGCGCGCTGGTGTCCGAAGACAAGTACGAACTCATCGTGCTAGACGAGCGAGGAACTCTAAACTCACAAGCTGTCGATTATCACGAGAACCCACACGATCTCGTCCACCTCCTTCTGCTCCTCAATGGTGCATATTCCACTTTGAATGGGTTTCACGAGGGTCTGTCTCGCGGTGCTAACGTGCTGCGAGTAACTCGTGGGGATTACAAATTCGACGCGCAACTCCCCGTCGCCTGGCCTCGTCTGATGATGTTTGGGCGTTGCACTGAGGGGATGGTAGCGTCAGTGGCGGATCGCCGATGCTTTTTGAAGCTGTCCTTCCTTTTGCGCGACAAGGCCAGGCTCCAAAAGGTTATTCACACTCGCCTCAGTCGAGAGGAATCAGACGATGGACGTTGTTTCGTGGCGAAGCCTTTCAGCGACGATGCCTTTTGGGAGGACGAAGACAGACCCTCCAGGTGGCGTTGGGCGTTCAGTACAGAATGCTCATCAATACAACGATTACTCGTCGTCCAAGCGTACGAAGCTTACGATTCGGACATCTCACAATTCCAAACTCTGGAAGAACTCATATATATCTATGAAGATTTCACGGCAGGTGAGTAGCGACCCTCCCCCACTGACTGCATCCTCTGGTCTCATCAGTGCTTGACATGTGACAGGCCACGAATGGCTTCTCATCGAACAAGATATCATACATCGGGACGTCAGTCGTTACAACATCATGCGACAATGGAATCCACAGAGAGGACGTTACATCGCCATTCTCATCGACTTTGACCTCGCATCTCGCTTCAAGGAACGTTCTCTCGCCCCGGTAGAGAGCATCACGGTTAATAATCGCACGGTGCGTTCGAGTCTCGAGAACAATCTCCACATTCCCCCCTTAGTAGTCTGTTGCTCACACTTTTTGCAAAGGGGACGAAACTTTACATGTCCGTTGTAGTACTCTACTCGGAAGGAACTGCTCCTGAGGTAGAGCTTCCCCTCCACGACCACATGGACGATCTCGAGTCCGGTGTATGGGTTCTCCTGGACATCCTTCTTCGTAAGATACCCGGCCAGGAAAAATTGTGCCGGCGCTCACGCATTATGGATGAGTGGGCGAGTCTATCGGACAGAATCTTGTCGAATACAAAGCAAAA